TAATAATAATAATAATAATAATAATAATAATAATAATAATAATAATAATAATAATAATAAATTTTAGCTGGCTTCCTAAGAAATATAGTCAATGGGAAAAGCTGGATTCACTTAACATGATCCGCTCAACAACTGCAGTGATTCACTGAACAACCATGGCAAAAATGCTGGTATCAATGGAAATTCCTATCTCCATTTTGGACGTAGAGGAGGATAATCTGGCAAAGGGCTCTTATATTTACATCCAGGTTGTAGACTGACAAAACATTCAGTGTTCCTCTGAGAGTATTATGGGAGGCCCCTGAAAAATTTCTCCTCAATGTCAAAACATATCAATTAACTTTTGCTAATGTATTTGCTGCATACAGTATTCCTTTTTCATCCTTTAAGTTAATATTCCACCATCGGGGGTAAAAAAACAAATCCAAATGGCCTCTGTAAAAGTGAACATATTATGCCTTATTAAATTTCTTATCGCTGACTTTTTGCTCTTTCTATGCACGGAGCCTCACTTAAGTGCTGCTTTCTACAGAAAGGGAATATCAATATATAAATTAAAACCCTAACTAATAAACCTGATCTATCACAGGCTCTTCTCCATGCTTATATGAAAGCACTAAATTTAACAGTTTAATAATTCATAATTACATTTAATTGGAGGCATGGAAGGCTGGTGCTTTCCTGAGCTAAAACGCTCTCTATCAGGGGATTAAAAATAAATTGGAAGGAACAAACGTGCCCCAATAAGACTCTGTCATCCTTAATATTTTCCTATTAATATTTCCCTAATATTTTCCTAATATCCACTTTTCCACATGGATTATTCACAGGGACAATTTGCACAGGATTCCACTGGAAAACCAGCACTGAAATTCACTCCCCCCAAAAAAAAATCTGGAGGGGGGGGGAAATAATAAAACCCAGGTCAGCCTCAACTTACCACCACAATTGAGCCCAAAATTTATGTTGCTAAGTGACAAAAACCCACCAAACTTTCCACTCTCCCAAAAGAGCCCACCCACCATCTTCCTTTCTCCTTTTAAGTCCAACAGCTTTGTGACTATTTGCAAAAAAAACCCTCGCCTGCTGGTGAGCCCCCCCCCCCCCCAATTTTTGCAACATTGCAAAGTCCCTTCTGTGGCCCCCCCATTTTTTTTTTTACAATATTCCCTGCTGCCCCTTCCTCAATTTTTTTGCAACGTTGCAAAGTCCGCCCCAAACTTTTGCAACCCAGCAAACCTCCCCCTCCCCTCTTGGAAAAGCGGCCCGACCCGGCAAGAGGAGCCCCGGGACTGACCGGGGGAGGCCAGGCTCGGGGCCCCGGCCCCCCATGTACCCCGGGGACCCCATACTGGGGGCTTTCCCCCACCCCAAGACCCACCTCGGGGGTCTTCCCGCCGGCCACAGCAGCAGGCCTGGCCCGGCGGGGTTGCATCGCCTCCCGGGAGCAGCCGGCCATCCCAGCGCGTTCCCGTTGCCTTGGAGACGCCCGCCGCAGCTCCCCCTGGCGGCTGGATCGCAAACCGCACCCTCCCTGCTTCCTCTTGTAGAAAGTCGAATTTTTAAATCCAGATTAAAACCAACACACACACACACATTGCTGTCATTTGAGTTGTGCTAAGGTTTGGTATTTTTTGTATGTGTGTGTGTGTGTTTGTTGCATGGCAAGCTGCCCGGAGTTGCTATATGGAGAGCCGGATGGAAATTAATTACAAATATAAATATAAAATATACACACTCACACCCCGGCTGGAAATTTGCTTGATGCATGGCCTGTCCTTGGGATGTGAACTTGGAGGGTGCGATCACTCACACATTCACACGCACGCACGCACACAGACACAAAGACGGAGGCAGTTGTTTGCAACTTGCTGAGAAAAGCCAGGTCAGGAGTTAATCCGATGGGCAATCTACCTTGATGAGAAAAAGGAAGGAAAACCCAGGGGAAGGATGACATTTTTCCCCACAATAAAATCAACACAGCCTCCAAGGTTAATTATAAAAAATATTTATTCTTCTGTAATAAAAGGTGCAGCTCATGAACCAGGAGCTAGGAAATTATTAACTACCTCCGATAATTCTCTAAACACCGAAAGGAGGAAGAAAACAGACCTTTCAAGACACAGACTTTTTTTTTTCCAGAAAATTTTCCTTTTAGTAGGACTTCTAAGGTTATTAAACTATTGGTGGAACAAATATTGATCATTAGAAAAAGGAGGTGCACAGATTTTAACATTTTTCAGCTTCTCAGCTGCTGAAAAGGATCCCAGAATCCATTTCCTTCATATAATGTTTAACAGAGTAACTGCTCCATTTTATTATGATTTCACCAATGGACACTGTCCAGCTACTCCAATTATTTGCAAGAGAAAACAGATCAAGAATTGTTCGCTATGAAAAGCATGTGTGAAAGTATACACCAGCAAAAAAACAACAACACACAACCGGGCCAAAAATAAAATAAACTTCCTTTCTGAAGTTCTAGAAAAACATTTCACCCACATCCATTCTCGTGGACTTTCTCGTGGCCAGAATGAGATCCGTCCAGGCTGAAATACGCTTAAGCAATTCATAACGTAACAGTGAGGCTGGCTAAAAATTAACCCTGATATTGAAGGATAATTATTGCAAGGTTACATCTCCAAAACTAAAATGAACAGGTTGATCAGCCTGCCTGCATCCACATAGAATTCACAGGGTTTGCAGGTGCTAATTCTTTTTTTTTTTTTTTAAGGAGATTTTTGTGCTATATCTGTAAAAGTGTTGCATAAATTAACTTGAAAACAACCAGCAACTGGTACTTTAAAGTGGGATTTAATACTTTAAAAAGAACATACAATATTCCCATACTTAGGTGTGATGCTTCCAAAGATTTGACACTGGAGTTCTGTTTTTGAAAGGCTGTTGGCTTACACAGATGTTCCTGCCCAAACATAACTTGAACATTAAAATAACTGGCATTTATTTTATTCCCCAGTTTATTTTAAGTTGGGAGACTCCTCATACTTCAGCGTCTCTGAACATATTGTCTTCTCCAATATTTTGCACTGAAATGCTGTCTGTGTTTACCAAATTATTTTTAAATTAAATATAATTACTGTCACTGTGAATCTCAATATTCAAAATCCCGAGAAGACCTTTTAAAGTCATAAATACAGTTTAGAAATTAAAAAAAAAACCCACTTCATAGTATCTTTTAGATTCTTTCCGCTGCCTTGAGGACTAGCATGGTGATCCTTTTAAAATAATATTTGAGCGGGACGAGCACTGAGAGATCCAACCCCAATTTCTAATCTGATCTCACTCCAGTCCAATAAATATAAATAGGATTTGGAAACACAGAAAATGTGCCTTTGTGATTGATAAAATTCAGTGCAAATAATAAACATAAATTATTGGGGGCAAACTCTTTTTTTTTTTGGAACAAAATCGGGGATCACGTTTCTTCTATTTAGTGCTTGTTAAAAAAAAAGTGAATTTCTCTGTTACTTAGGGCAGTCTATTTGTGCTTCTTCACAAAACATTGGATTAGCTGGTAACTATATGGAACCTCTTTAGCCAAAGTCAATCATTTTGCAAGCTAAAAATTCTGCAGATAAAAGAAGCTTTTCTCCCTATATTTTCCACAGCAGGCAGGCAGGTTTATCTCCAATCTTTACTTACTCAATAGAGTCAAAAGGAAAGTGGAAAGTGAATTTCCTGCCTTCCACTCCTAGTTTCACTAGCTGTGAAAACACACAGACAAACAAACCCGACAGACCAACTTATTTGTGACAATATTTTGAAGTTCAACAGTAGTGTGTACCCAACAGTAAAGCAAGAGAGCCCAGGGTGGATTCCTTTAGGGCTGTTTCGCTCTTCTGACATTTAAGAAGTCCTTTTGCAAGTCCACTATACCCACTAGGCTATCGTTCTCCATTTAAATGCCCCCCAAATATTGGAGAGCTGTACTCCCACAGCCCTAGAGGAGTTGGGGAGTATCGAGTTCACCCTTGCCTGGTTAACAAGGGATGGAGCGATGCAAAGGATCCCTATGTCTTTTTGTAAGCACAGTGACGCCAGATTTACTCCTTGTCTTGCTTGAGTCAAGTGTCTTCAATGGTCATCCTTCTCTGCTGACCTCTCTTCTCACCGCTATCATTTATTGGCAGGACAAGAAGCAACAGGACAAGAACCAAACAAGGCCAGGAGCAATCCAGAACTAAGGAGGAATTTCTTGACAGTGAGAATAATTAACCACTGGAACTACTTGCCACCAGAAGCTGTGGGTGCTCCAACACTGGAGGTTTTCAAGAAGAGATTGGACAACAGTTTGTCTGAAATGGTATAGATAGGGTTCGGGTTAGGGTTAGGGGGTTGGACTAGAAGACCTCTTAAAGATTCCTCCTAACTCCTGTTATTCTTTATTCAGTTGTCTGAACCACACACTGGCTGGGGAGTTCTGGGAGTTGAAGCCCACTCATCTTAAAATGGCCTTAAAAGCTGAGAAACATTGCTTTAAAGAATGATAGGTCAATGATCTCGCCATGTAGAAAGAGGACAGCTCTTCACACCTTTTTGGCCAAAGTCCTCGCCCAACACAATTTCCAAAAAACGCTTCCTTCCAAGGATACACACTCTAAGGAGCGGGGGGCCCTGACCTTCTTTTCCTTGAAAATAATCTAATTTTAGCACGTGGGGAATCTGCATAATTTTTTTACATCATAATTAAGTCTTTTTCCCGGATCTGTTTCACAGCGTGGAAATTATGCTGGGAATCCCCTCTTGTAGAAAAATTTCATGGATCTCTTTGTTCTGGGCAAGGTGCTTCCGTGAGATAAAAAGGGACCATTTGTTTCCTCACGAGCTGAGCTGCCAAAGGAATCGTCCGCTGGTTACACAGAACAAAGAAAACCCATGTCTTCCCTACCAACGGAAGGACATTTCCAACGACGCACAAAATTTCACAGGTCCGCTGCCCCAGGAATTGCTGCAAACGGCTGTCCAAGCAAAAAGACACCCTCCAAAGTTTTCTGTAGTGTAATTTCCCCCCACCCCTTTAGATCAAAAACAAGCCCTCTTGATATAGAGACATCCTGCAACGATTGCTTGGAGGAGATTTTCTTCATGTTGCTTATTCCATATTTCATCTGGGCTTCGTCCTCCAGCTGGCTGTCTTCCTTGCTCACACCATCCAAGAAGCCATTTTCCCTCTGTAACTTACTCACTCCTCCCATTGTCCAAAGGGCTCATTTTCTCCCCACCCTCAAGAAAAAAACATTCTTCCTCCAAGAGTCCATTCTGACCCGATCCAGATTGTGTATGTGTGTGGTTGTTGTTGTTGTTTTCCCCTTTTCTGAAACAACTGAGCACCTGCGGTTCCTGGATGTCATTTTCCTCCAGAAATTTCCTCTTTGGCACTTATACCAGAGTCCCGTTCTTGTTGTCGTATTTCAGGGGGGCTCGGGAGAAATTGAGGGTGGCGTATTCCGTCGCATTCTGCGTCTGGAGGTTTTTCACCTCCCCGGCTGAGCGTTCGCGGGGCTTGGTGAAGACCTGGATGTCGGCATAATGCACACTGCTTTCATCCGGCTTCATGTTCTTCGGTTTGCTCACCGTGGCGTAGACCGGGAACTCTGAGACGTCATCGTAGACGGGGGCCACCTCAAGACCCTTGGGGGGAGAGAAAGAGGGGGGGACAGAGGGAGAGAGAGAGGGAGGGAGAGAGAGAGGGAGGGAAAGGGAGAGGGAGAGAGGGAGGGGGAGAGGGAGGGAGAGAGGGAGGGAGAGAGAGAGGTAGGGAGGGAGAGAGGGGGAGAGAGAGGGAGAGAGGAAGGGAGAGGGGGAGGGAGAGAGAGGGGGAGGGAGAGAGAGGGAGGGAGAGAGGGAGGGAGAGAGGGGGAGAGAGAGGGAGAGAGGAAGGGAGAGGGGGAGGGAGAGAGGGGGGGAGGGAGAGAGAGGGAGGGAGAGGGGGAGAGGGAAAGAGAGAAAGGGAGGGAGAGAGGGGAGAGAGAGTGAGGGAGGGAGAGAGGGAGAGAGAGGGAGAGAGGGAGGGAGAGAGGGAGGGAGAGAGAGGGAGGGGGAGAGAGAGGGAGGGAGAGAGGAAGAGGGAGAGAGAGGGAGAGAGAGGGAGGGAGAGAGAAGGAGGGAGGGAGGGAGAGAGAGGGAGGGGGGAGAGAGAAGGAGAGAGAGGGAGGGAAAGAAAGAGGGAGAGGGAGGGAGAGAGAGGGGGAGGGAGAAAGAGAGGGAGGGAAAGGAGGAGAGAGAAGGAGGGAAAGAGAGAAAGGGAGGGAGAGAGAGAGAGGAAGAGAGAGGGAGGGGGAGAGAGAGGGAGAGAGAAGGAGAGAGAGATCAAATCACTGAGGCTCAGAGCAAACTTTTAGGAAGAAGTTTAAATCTAAGCGGCACTCGCTCTCCGTTCTTTAGCAAAAGCACAAAATATTGGGGGAAACTCTGCCCTCCAGGAAGGTAAGCTACATAAAAAGACAGTTTGTACCCCATAGGACAGGGATTGAATTAAACAACAGAAATTTTGCACTCCTTTGTGGTCATAAGTTGAGGAGTTCAAGCCCCTGTAAGAAAGATACGGAGCTGTTTCTTTCTAAGCTATACCTTCCTTTTCCTTTTCTCCCTTTCTTCTCATTCCTCATTTGTTTCCTTGCTCTTTCCCCACAAATTTTCTTTCCCTTCCCCTTCCAGGTAGTCCTTCCCACGGACACAATCGAGCCCCAGATTTCTGTTGCTAAGTGAGACATTTGTTAAGTGTAATTGTGCCCCGTTTTACGACCTTTATAGCCATGGTTGTTAAGCTAATCCAGATTCCCCACTGACATGGCTTGTTGGGAGGTTTACAAAAAAGAGGAATTGCCTGATTCCCCGGAACCCGTTGCCCAGCGTCCAAATTTTGATTGTGCGATTGCATTGGTTTTAAGTATGCAAAACGGTCTTCCCTTTTTTCAGAGGCACTGCAATTTTAAAACGTTACTAAATGAACTGTTGCAAGTCAAGGATACCTGTATTTTCTTTTTCCCTCACATGTTTTTATTCTGCAAATCATGGTTCAGTTAAAAAATCGTGGAATAAAAAGGAAATCCCCTCCCTGAGAATGGAATTTATTTACCTTGTTGATTTCCGGGGTCTGTAAACTCGGCTTACTGATTCTTGTATCTGTAAGGGGAGGAAAAAGATGATATTTGCTGGATTGACATCGCTCGGCCCCCTGAAATCACGACTCTGAATAGAACGAGAAAATTCCAAGGGCCTGGGGCTGTTTTCGTATTTAGGGAAATCAGTTAAATCGGTGCAAAATAGGAGAACAGAGTGAAATCCCCACAGATTACCCGGAGAAGAATGTCTGCATTTAAATCCAGGCTCATCTCTAACTGCCCCTGGACCCAGACACCTGAAACCAAGGACCTCGGGATTCAAAAAAACATCTTTAACCAATTACAAACTATGCAAAATTATGTTGTGGGTTGTTCTTCTGCCTTCTCAGCATGCGAGTTTTCAAGCCACGGATTGGGGTTGTTTTGCGTGCATGCAAACTCCTAGCTAGCTGCTCGTTTGTTTCTAAGCAAAAAATAAAAGAATTGTCTCCCAACTAAAATTCTCAGGGCGGAATAAAACCACACCAAAAAAAAAAAAAAGAGAGACAGAAAACCACTCGAAACAGCAATTCATGGTGGAGGAGATGAATGTGATCCTGTTGTCGTAATCCTCAGCTGAGTGCCAGCAGCCTTCATTGTGCACATTTTTAACCCAACAGGCCCCCAACTCATCCCCTTGGTGGGCTGTTTCCCATGAAACCTCAAGGCGTCCTGGACTTCAGTGCCCATGGCAACGTTCAGCCCAGCAGAAGGATCCCAAGATTGCTGGAATTTTTCTGCCTGTTTCTTTGCAAACTCTCCTCCAAGGTGCTTTGCAAGAACCAGTTTCTCCCCCAGGATTTATTTTTTTGTATTTACTCTCAGGAAAACGGTGCCTTATGCAGAGGCTGAATTCAGATGTTTCTTCGCCCTGGAATATTTCTGCATTCTCCTCTCCCAGATCCCTGTCACATCTGTCCAGCCACCTCCACCACCTGTGACCACAATGGATTTCTTGCCTTGTTGCCTTTTTATGCTGGCTAGCGAGACTCACTGGGGCCCTGTGCACGGGATCAATTAATAAATACACCTCTATTGCTCACCTGGTTTTTCTTTGTACCTCTTCAATAGCGAAGGGCAATTGCTATTTCAGAAAAGAGAGAAAGAGGCACGAATGAATTCTGAGATTATTCAAATTCTGACACACAAACACACACACACCGTTTATTACAAAACAAGACCTAGATGGAAAATGAGTCCCAGCATGATTTTTCATAAGCCTTACTCCAAAAATAAGCCCCAGTTAACATCATCAAACAGGAGGATGCATTTAGTACCATATTTCCCAGAAAATAAGCCCTACTCTGTCTTTTAGAGCAAAAATTAATATAAGACCTGGTCTTACTTTGGAGGAAAGACGTGTGTGTGTGTGTGTGTGTGTATGTATGTACGTACGTACGTATATATATATATATATATATATATATATATATATATATACATACACATACAGAGAGAGAGAGAGAGACAGACAGACAGACAGACAGACATGTGTATGTGTATAGGGGTATAGGTGTGTGTGTGTGTGTGTGTGTGTGTGTGTGTAAACGAACTAATTACTCAGAACTCCTGCCTGTCCTTTAAATCTTCCCCTTTTGGGCTTTGCTCCTGCTGCCCCGCCTCTTATAAAATATTCACTCTCTCATTATTAACATTGTGAAGTCCTGAGACTTGGCAGCAGCCTGGATGGTAAAAGGAGTGGCTTTCTGAATAGTTGCCTGTGGAGTTTCACATTCAATTCCATTTCACTTTCCCAGGAATAGGAAAATGAGATTAAAAAGAGAAGAGAGGTCCGATAACTTGCACCGTAAGGAATTCAAGAGTGCAGGGAATTCACCTCCTTGCTCTACTTAGCCCAAAACCGGTCTGTCCTTGCTGACGTGCCATTCAAACGGGATAGCTTTAAATACAACACTTCTTTTTTTTACAACACTTCTTGCTCCTTCTTGTCATTGGTGCTGCTCTCTGTGACCCCCAAAATAGCGACCAGTTGCAGCTAGGGGTGGGATTCCAAAATCCCAACGTTTGCTGGGTGGGCGTGGCCATTGTGGGCGTGGCCTACCAGCACTTCCAGGAGGGCCATTTTTGACTTTCCCCAGAATCCCGAGGCTTCCCTCGGGCCTCTGGGAGGGCGAAAACGGCCTGTCCCAGGCTCCGGAGGGCCGCTGGAAGCTGGAAACAGGCCCGTTTCTGGACTTCCGGAACTTGCGGAAGGCCCGTTTTCCCCCCTAACAGAGCCTCTACACGGATCCTGCACTTCCCTGCATCCAAAACAGGCCATGTGGAGACTCCTGGGAGGGACGGGATGGGCGGGCGTGGCCAGCCAGTCGGTTTTGGCGAACCAAATGTAAATTTAACCTCTGGCTCGCTCAAACCGGTCCAAACCGGCCGAATCCCACCTCCTGGTTGCAGCGCTCCTGTTTAGGAGGGTCTTTGAAAATCTTTCTCCCCGCCCTCCCCACAGGGGATGCCCTGAGCTTCCTTGCCACATGCAGGCTCTGCCTTCAATCTACCTGTTGGCATCATCCCCACCTTGACCTGGCAAACGTTTGAACACGAGAAGTTCCTGATTTGGCTCTTTCAAGAGATTGGAGCAACCTGAACTTCAGCGACTTATGGAAAGCCACAGCGGGATATTTTGGGGGGGGGAGGAGAATGGCAAAGGGAGGGTACTGTGGTGGAATCCCCCATCCCCACCCTCCTTTCTCCGTAAAATGCCACGGGCAGCTGGTCCGCGAGTCAAAACAGGATGACTTTCCGCTGGAGAGACACCCAGTGCAAAGTCTCTGTAGCCTCAATCGCTCCCTCCCTGAAAGAAGGACCATTGAGGGGGGTGAGGGACATCCAGACGTAGCAACCAACAAACCCATCATCCCCAGATGACCCAAAGAGACCCCAAGACCCCCCTTTTTCCAGCTCTCCAAGCATGGAGAGGGATTAACTCTTCTTGAAACAGGACACAGATGCTCTGCAGCTTTCTTTGGTGGGGGAATTCAAGACACCCCCTCCCCCTCAAGTGGTGGGATTCAGCCGGTTCACACCGGTTGGGGAGAACCGGTTGTTAACTTTCTGAGCAGTTTGGTGAACTAGTTGTTGGGAGAAATCATTAGGGCAGAGAACCAGGGGTTCAGTGATTTGAATCCCACCACTGCTCCCCACTATTTCTGTCCCTTCCGGGGACATCTCCACCCCCACTTGGACTGACTAAGGAATGTTTTCATCCACTCTGCAAGACAAAAGAGCTGGTTGCCCTTTAGAGACAGGGAACAGCAGCCAAGGCTGATGCCAAGGCCGCCTTAAATAGCTCGGCCTTGCACCAGAGTGGATAAGGCCATCATCGGCGCCTCCATCGTTGGCATCTCGGGCAAAGAATTAAAAGGGCCCGGATCGCTTTTTCCCTTTGTAGGGGAGGGAAAGAAATAGATGGCGGCCCTGTTCAGTCCCTCCCACCACCTCAAAATATATCCTTTCCCCAACCTCCGCAGCTGGGAGACGAGTGGACTTCAAGTCCCAGAATTCCCCAGCCAGCGGTGTTGCTGGGGAATTCTGGGAGTTGAAGTCAGCACCCCTCTCCAAGCAGCCGAAGTGGAGAAAGGCTATTCTAGGTCAACGTTCAACCTTGGGGATGTAAGAAGGAACCCCCCAAATTCAACCTTGATCTTGACGTATGAGTTTCGTAAATAAACATTGTAAGCACCTAGTTCTTATTTTTTATGTAAAAGGGGAAAAAAAAAAACAACCGATGCTTCCAAAGGAACCGTTCAGCAGATTGGCATAGATCGTGTGTGTGTGTGTGTGTGTGTGTGTGTGTGTGCGTGCGTAGGACGAAGGAAAACACTGTCATTTTTCGGGGGGTGGGGGCTGCAGGTAGGCCTATGGGAAAGAGGGAAGAAAAGCCCCCCCTCCAGCCAAGATTAATTGCCAGAATTAAACCCCCTTCCCCAATCAGTGCGACGCTTCTCAGCATATCCCCTCGGTGGCGCTGTTTCTTCCAATTTGGCCCCAGCAGCTGGATCGCCTTTCCCAGGAAGCTAAAAGCGAAGTGAAGTTCCCGCTCCGCTTTCCCCAGGAAGCAAGCACGCACACAGACACACACACGCATACAAACACACATAGAAAGGCCCCAAAACCAGAGAGTCTTAAAGCAAGAGTGTCCAAATCCTGGGCAACCGTAAGACTTGCGGACCTCAACTCCCAGAATTCCCAGAACTTTAAGGCTTGTGGACTTCAGAGAAGCTGGCTGGGGAATTCTGGGAGTTGAAGTCCACAAGCCTTACGGTTGCCAAGGTTGGAGGGAGACCCCGGGGGGCCGGAAGCTAAAATCCCAAATTTGACCCCCCCCAGGAGGGGGGGTGGAAGAGAGTAAAGCCCCCCCCCCCTTCCCCCTCCCTCCCATTTAAGTTTCTCTCCTGGGCAACGGCCCCAAGAGAACCTCTGGGTTTGGGTTTGTATGACTCGGTGTTTGTGTGTTTGTATGTGTGTGTGTTTCTCTCTGGGTCTGGGTCTGTGTTTGTATGGGTCTATTTGTGTGTGTGTGTGTTTCTTTCTCTGTGTGTTTGTGTGAATTTGTGTCTGTTTGTGTTTGCATGCATGTGTATTTGTGTGTGTTGGTCTGTGTGTTTGTAGCTGTGCCTGTGTGCGCCTGTAGGTGTGTATTTGGGTTTGTCTGTTTGTTTGTCTCTGTGTTTGTATGGGTCTATTTGTGTGTGTGTGCGTGTGTGCGCGTGTTTGTCTCTTTCTGTGCGTGTTTGTATGAATGTGTATGTCCCTGTGTTTGCATGCATGTGTGTGTGTGTTGGTCTGTGTGCTCGTAGCTGTGCTTGTACGGGTGTTTGGTGCGCTTGTACGTGTCTCCTTGTGTGCAGTGGGCGCGCCCGGGAGAAGCGCCCGCCGCCCCGAGAGCCGCTCCCAGAAACCCGCTCCTCCTCCTCCTCCTTCCACCCCTCGCCCATCGCGCTCGGACTACAAAGCCCATCCTCCTCCGCGGCTCGAGGCGGGGCCGGCAGAGGGGGGCGTCCCGGGAGGGGGGGGGGAGGGTCCCTCTCGCCCCACGGCCCCGCCGACCCCACCCCCGCCCCCTCCCGGGTCCCGGTCCTTCCCCGGCCGCGTTGAGCCCCCACCCAGGCGGGGCGAGGGGGGCGCTCTGCGCATGGGCAGAGGGAGGGTCGGGGTGGGCGGGGGTCTCCCTCTCCCCCCTCCCCACCCCCCCCGGGACTCACCGGCCGGCGCAGCAGCCGCAGCGGTTCCCCATGGCGCCGCCCGCCGCTTCCTGGCCCCGGGATGGCAGCCCGGCCGCGGGCGAGCAGCAGCAGCAGCGGCGGCAGGAGGAGGAGGAGGAGGAGGCGGAGGGCCGGGCGGAGGTGTCGCCTTTCCCGGCCGCCCTCTGCTGGCGGCGCGGGGGGCGCCGGGCTGGGCCGGGGGAGGGAGGGAGGGAGGGTGGGTGGGTGGGGTGGGGGGCGTTGCCCCGGGCAGGGGAGACCCTCCTCCGCAGCGCTCTCCGCCGGCAGCCGCTCCCAGCATCCCCCTCCTGCCCCATCATCCCCAGCCTTTCCAGCACTCTGCCCCTCATGCACAGCCTTTTCGCTCCCAGCATCCTCATCCGGTCCCATCATGCACAACTTTTCCATTCCCATCATCCACAACCTTTCCACTTCTGGCATTTTGCCCCGTCAACCCCCAACCTTTCCATTCCCATCATGCACAGCCTTTCCATTCCCATCCCCT